AAACAGCTACTTCAATTAGGGTACAATATTCAGCAATCAAATATTTATTTATCAATCATTGGACACCTATTTGGAAGTTGAAAACAAACATTTTAGCATTTCAGCAATTATTAAATGATCAATATGTTTTGATTTTAAATGTAGCCAGAAACGTAATCAGAAAGTTGCAACAGAACGGGTCAAGGAGTATCAACGTAATTAATGTTGAGCTTAAACACTCGCGCGGTGCATTATGGGATTGAAAGCGGTGCGGAGAAAGCGTTGAGACTGGCCAAGAGCGTCAAAAAGGTTGGCCATTCCTTGACTGACTCTACACTCTAAAAAATGCTGGGTTGGGTCAAAACAACCCAACCGCTGGGTCAAAACAACCCAATAGCTGGGTTGGTCCCTTTTTAACCCAGTGCTGGGTTATATTTAACCCAGCATTTTTTTAGAGTGTATGCATATATCAAGCGAAAAACGCTGGGCGACAACCAATCGCTGTGAAAAGTAGACAAGGCAAGATTTTGACTTATATTTCCGAGTGTTTGCTGAACTGTTGGATTACTGAGCTGAAATAGTCAATGAAACTTGTCGTTGAAAAAGCCATATGTGACCCTGGACCACAAAACCAGTCATAAGGGTCAATTTTTTTAAATTGAATATTTGGCCGAGATACAACTATTTGAAAATATGGAATCTGAGGACAATATTTGGCTGAGATACAACTATTTGAAAATCTGGAATCTGAGGGTGCAAAAAAATTTAAATATTTAGAAAATCATCTTTAAAGTTGTTCAAATTAAGTTCTTAGCAATGCATATTACTAATCAAAAATTAAGTTTTGATATATTTATGATAGGAAATTTACTAAATATCTTCATGGAACATGATCTTTACTTAATATCCTAATGATTTTTGGCATAAAAGAAAAATGGATAATTTTGACCCATACAATGTATTGTTGGCTATTGCTACAAACATACCGACGCTACTTATGACTGCTTTTAGGGCTGCACGATTAATCAAAAGCGATTGTCATGCGCATATCGCCGGTTCTGTGATCAGCAGTAAATCTCCATCACGTGCTTTCAGAGCATTTACTACACAGAGCCTTAGTTCACTGACAAGCTACGACTACGAAAAAAAAAAAAAAATCGCAGACGATATAATCGCGCGATTATGAAATTGAAGATATCGTTCTGCGATTATGAAAGCTGTTTGCGTAGCTTCTGAGCGAACTACGGCTCTGTGTAGTAAACGCTGCTCCATCTGAAAGCACGTGAAAACACCACATTTAATAACATGTGTTTACTCCAAACTCATAACATCAGTCGAGTGTTTGAAATAAATCCTTCTGTGAGATGATGTGGCTTCTTACACAGAATAAGGCACGCAACACATTTCATAGCATTCTAAGCAGTGATAAAGGCATTGCATTTATAAATATGCTTTATTATAATGAGAAGAACTCAGATAAGCCATATATTGTCGTAGTTGTGTGTTTATTAGTCACGTGGAAGCAGTTAAATCTTCTGTTTATTCAGCAACCGCTATTTCCTGGGTTTCTTCTGCGGGGTGTTTTTAAAGTTTCTCTGGCCTTCGGATGGAGATTTACTGCTGATCACAGAACTGTGCAAGATACGCATGACAATCGCAGCTTTTGCCTAATCGTGATTGCGATTTCATTTCGATTTATCGTGGAGCCCTAACTGATTTTGTGCTCCAGGGTCACATATGGTATTACCGGCACATATGTCTACACACCTGGCACTTGTGCGGCCGTGTGCCCTGGTGCGTCAGCATGTGTGTGTGCAGGTGGCTCAGCTGCTTGAAGAGTTTCCCGCAGAGGTTGCATTCGTGCGGCTTGATGCCGCTGTGGCCCAGGATGTGCGTGATCAGGTTGTATTTGGACGTGTAGGATTTCTCGCACATGCGGCACTTCCAGCGCTTCTGATCACCGCCCACATTCACGTAGTAGCTTTCATCCACGTACACATTCAGCTTTTCCGGTTTGCTGGCTTCTTGGCTCCTGCGGCGAAACCGTGTGGCTTTGGTGGGGTAGAAGGGGTTCGGAGAGAGATGGAGGAACGGGAACGGGACCAGACTGGGATGGAAAGAAGGAAAGTAGGGAGCAGGAGAGCGCAGGAGTAATGGAGGCGACGGAGGCCACAGCAACAGAGGCTTCAACGTCTCCTGCTTCACCTGGATCACGCGATGGAGACGCAGCCGGTTCAGGTCGATCATATCTGGGACGAATCGGTGCGGCTGAGGCACGACGGGGCGAGGGAGAGGATAGGGGAGAAGAGAAAGGTCGATGCTTCTGCTGGAGAAGTCCTCTGGACGCTTGCGTTCGCTCTCGGTCAGATCCATGCTGGAGGTTTCTACACGATCAGATCGCGAGTGTGAGAATCGTCCATCACCTGCCTGCGAAAACATGTCGAATGAGTTACTGCATTCATGCATTTGGCAGATGCTTTTATGCAAAGTCATTTGCATTGCATTCATGTTTGATCTGTTCAGGGCCGTAACCACTAGGGCTGTCAAAATGACTGAAAAACTAAATTAGAATTTTCTACTTAAATATGATCAAAATTCAAATTATATTCGAAGTTAAAAGGCATAATTTCAGTTAGAGGGAAAAAAGCTTTTGGACCCCTCTGATCAGCATACAAAGGACAAGTCCCCCCCAATAATTAGAAATGGCCAATCTGTCCCCCCCAATATTTGTAATTCTTGCACTGATCTGCTGTACTCCATTATGCAGCGCTCTGTTTTTTAAGATGCCAAAAAGGTTTAAAAGTGACATTTTCATCCTGGTCTGCCTCAGCGGGCTAACAGCGCTGGTCAATGTCAAAATAATTGAGTTGGCCAATCAAATCAAAGTAGGCGAATATATCTGAATATATTCAAAATTGCATTGGAAAGGGCTGCACAATCATTCTTCAAATGTTCTTTATCTGTGCTTCATGGAAGAAAGTAAATCATTAGGGCTGTCAAAATGACTGAAAAACTAAATTAGAATTTTCTACTTAAATATGATCAAAATTCAAATTATATTCGAAGTTAAAAGGCATAATTTCAGTTAGAGGGAAATAAGCTTTTGGCTTCTCTCCTGAGTCCACTATATTATTATGCACAAAAATATTATGCACGTTTCTTCAAAGCGTAATAAAATAACACGACTATCTTTGAAAAAAAAGTGCATAATGTTTATAATAATGTTTATAAACCATATATAATTAATAAAGTTGCTTAAACAATTAGAAAAAATAACAGCTCCATGCATGTATGTATAGTTTAATACAAAGGTCCAAAAACCAATCACAAAGAGTAGGCTACTTTCTTCATTTAAAAACATGAGATGCAGTGGGATGCGGAAAAACCGCCATAACGTCTTTAGACATGTTTTTTAAAAATTGAACTTACATTAATTTTACATGGCTTTCTAAACATGCAGCTCTCTTGTGCGAGA